AACGCATCCTAATGGTCTCGGGGTCAACGGCCCTTCCTGATCCCTAACGCTCAGTGGGCCTCCGTGGCCAGCTCCCAACACAAAGTGAGGTGCAATTCTACAGTGCATATGCTTTGTGACAGTTATATATAGACTTCAGAGAACATTTCTTCATGTGTTCTGGTGGACTAAAGATATAGTAACTACCAAGAAGACTAAGCTATACCTTAATCATCTTTGAATTGAATTTTCTTTAATCTGTGATGGGGTCTCGAATAGGAATTGAAATATTTGTTGAAGTTGCTAGAATCATAATATCCAGATAAGTGAGATGTTACTATTTTTTATTAATTTTTAAAGAGAATCATTTTATGTACAAAATTCTGGCTACAAACTGATGAATAATAACAAATTGTTCTTTTTTTTTTTTTATTTAGCCAATTTAAGTAATTATGAAAAAACCAATAATACTTTAACTGGCAGTGAATGCTTAACTATATAACTTCTGCCACCACAACTTTAGATTTCTTTGTAGCTAGGTAAGCTGTTTCTAGACTATTTTTATGGGGGGAAAACTGTCACACTAGTTGAAACTTTACCATATCCAATTGAGGAAAAGGTCTCTGTGTTAAACCAAAGATGTAAATTCTACACAGTAGGACATAAAAGAAAGCAATGCCAGAATTCAAATGATTCATGCCCACTTCCCTGACTGAACATAAGATGTTTACTAAAGGGACTATAGTGACTTTGCATCATGCACACATCAAACCTGAAGTTAACATGATGCACTATCTTTCATCTCTTATGTAACTAACAATACTATAAGATGATATTTTGGGGTGGGCATGGTGGCTCAAGCCTGTAATCCCAGCACTTTGGGAGGCTGAGATGAGGGGATTGCCTGAGCCCACGGGTACAAGAACAGCCTGGGCAACTTGGTGGGACCTCATCTCTACAATAAAGCAAAAAATTAGCTGGGTGTGGTAGCGCGTGCCTATAGTTCCAGCTACTTGGAAAGCTGAGGTGGAAGGATTGCCTGAGCCCAGCAGGGTGACGCTGGGGTGGCCGTGAGTGTGCCACAGCACTCTAGCCTGGGTGACGGAGTAAGACTCCAACTCAAAAAAAAAAAAAAGATTATATTCTGTATATATGCACTATTCTTACATATTATTAATTTATAGAATTAACGCTATTCAGCGTTGTTTACTCAAAACCACACTGTACTATGGTGACGTAAGAGTAAATTTTTTTTTTTGATAATGACAGGGTCTTACTTACTGTGTTGCCCAGGCTGAAGAAAAATTTTGACTACACACAATTTTTTGCATTCCATGCTATCTTTAGAATATAACCCCACCCCATAAGATACAACACTACTTGTGCTATACTATAAGCAGTATAGGGGGAAAAAAAGCTTGAGAATTAAGTTAGTGATAAATCCAGTGAATTCAGAAACACACAGAGAAAAAAGCACTCCTAAAAAAGCACTCCTAAGTATTTACTTTTTCCCATATTCCATTCTTCCTAGAAGTAGTCCAAAAAGAAATCACAATGTATACAAAGTTTAATGACAAATGAGAAAGGAAACAAAAGATACAAAATGAGGTAAATGTGCATGTACATAAGTATAGGAAAAAAACATAAGCACATATGATACTTAAGCAGATTAGTATGCACTGATGGTGATTTCATTTCTGTTGGTCAGTATCTAAAAGTTTTGTTTTCCTATCTGAGGAGACAAGATGTGAATCCATACAGATACTTACTTCTATGGTGAGAATTAATTTACTATAACCTATGAACTCAATATATTTTGATGTCAAATATTCACAATTCATGTTAAAAACTCCCTACAGCCTTATGTTAAAAGTACCAAAAGTCTATAGTTTTAGATTCAGGGATAAAACACATGTAGTTAGTGAGCTTTTTTCTCCCATTGGTATGGCTGTCTGGTTTTTGCATGCTAAGTCAAACATCATCTTATGTCAATAACCCAATCAAAAAAGAAACTGTTTACTCCAAATAATTGTATATTCCCACTCTATTTGCTAAAATGAAAATGTTGGATTGTGACAATTCTATAGGTGTTAATAAGTCATAAGGGGATGGATTATTTTTTAAACGTTAGTCAGGTTACCTACACGAACTGAAAAAGCATACCAACTGATTTTTCTTATTGAAAGGCCCATTCTCATACTTAAATTTCCCATAGCTACTTGGAAATTCTTTCACTTACCAGAAAGACCTGATTGGCACTTTCACTGAGAGTTGAGTCATCTGGACTGTCAACAGGTGTCTGACGTGTAAACTTGGAATCAAACTGACTCACATCCTCCTCAGATTGCTTTGTAAAAACAAGATTATTAGAAAATGATGAATCGGCTCTTTTATACACATCAATTAAATAAATGCATTGTAAGTGCTCCATAGAGATTTTTTGCAGGAGTTGACTGTAATAAAATAATAAAATAGTCTTAGAAGGCACATACTGAAGAAAAGAATGCAGATGGAAAGTATGAAGAGTTAAATTATATCTTCAAATCTTAAGTATTAAAATAGATTTTAGTATACAGTTGTTTCTGTTAAAAATCTGAATATCAGCTGAGCACAGTGGCTCACACTTATAATCCCAGCAATTTGGGAGGCTGAGGCAAGAGGATCACTTGAGCTCAGGGGTTCAAGACCAGCCTGGGCAATATAATGAGACCTCGTCTTTAACAAAAAAATAAAAAAAAGTTAGCTGGGTGTAGTGGCACACACTTGTAGTCCTAGCTACTTGGAAGGCTGAGGAAGGAGGATCACTTAAACCCAGAAGTGTGAGGTTGTGGTGAGCTGTGATCCTATTGCTGCACTTCAGTCTGGGTGACAGAGTGAGACCCCCACATACATACACACACATACACAAACCTGAATACCAATCTTCCCCTCTCACAAAGCTTCAGAGTGCCTGGTCCACTGGCTAAATCCCTACTTAGAGATAATTTACTCAGTTAGCCACGGTATGATTTCCAATAAACAAGTAAAACTACTGAAGCAGAGTTAAAATACAAATCATATTTGTAAGCTCCTCCAGTGAGTTTCTTCCATAGCTTATTTTACTCTTTTAAATTTCTTTTTTTTTTTAATAGTCTTTTTATCTCTCTTTCAGTCTTTCCTTTATTTCATGTTTGTTTGGAGTCTCACTCTGTCATCCAGGCTGGATTGCAGTAGCACTAACACAGCTCACTGAAGCCTCAACCTCCTATGCTCAGATGATCCTTCTACCTCAGCTTCCCAAGTAGCTGGGACTACAGGTGTGTACCACCACACCAGGATGATTTTTTTTTTTTTTTGGTAGAGGCAAGGTCTTGTGATATTGCCTAAGCTGGTCTCAAACTTCTGGATTCAAGCAATCCTCCCACGTTGCCCTCCCAAAGTGCTGGAATTATAAGCGTAACCACCACACCTGGTCACTCCTTTAGATTTCTAAAGGAGCAAAAATAATACTCTACTCTGCATGAGTTATATTTTTTTTGTAAAGAATAGTTATCACAGCCAGGCTTGGTGGCTCAGCCTGTAATCCCATGCCTTGGGAGGCTGAGATGAGTGGATTTGCCTGAGCCCACGGGTTCAAGACCCGCCTGGG